GAATCATTACTTATAAATAATTAAGAGGTATCTATTATTTAAAATTTACATAATTAGAATAAATTGTAAGAGACTATCAGATGAAAAAAGCAATTCTCCATTTTATTAAAGATCTTATAACAAAATGCAATAAAATTTCGCAGAACACGTAGTATATTTACAACTTTATTTTTGCGCGGTAACATTGTTAAACGCAGTAGACCACGTGCAGATATTCTACATAATCATTAGAGCCCGAGTTTTTAAATTATTATTTAAATGATTTTAAATTTTAGATATTAAATCTTTTAAATATTGTAATTGTTTTATTAAATATTTTACGATAATTTATTTCTTTATCCTTTTTTCTCTCTTTTTATTTTTTTGTTTTATACTAAGCAAAAAATGTCGACGAATAGAATTCATCGCGGAAAATTTTTGTAAGGAACACAATTGCCGCGGAAGAGAAGCATTTTATATTGGTATATTTTGCTGATTTTTATCTACATCGCAGACATTTGTTTTTGTGACATAATTTGCCCTGTAGAAATATAATACAATAGACATAATGATCTTAATTCAAACATTGCAACGCAGTATCAACACTTGTGCATAAAGCGATATTCATATAGCATAACGCTACGATGACGGGGAAACGAAATTCATGAAACAAAAACATAGAATTAAATTAAATCCGCTGGAATAATAACAAACAAGCTGCCATTCCTAATTTAATTCCAAATTATTTCATCACAAATATATAAATAGATACTGGCGCGTTAAACTTTAACACAAAACTTTGTTTCTCCATTTACCCAATCGTATTTGAGTCACTCTATTTATTGTTTGAATGTCAAGAGAGAGATCAAAACTTTCAAGAAAATTAAATTTGCTTAAAAGTTGAATTAATATTGAATTGTGGATATCAGTAACGAGGTGTCGGAAATTTCTTTTCGACAGAGATTTTTAACGCGCGCACTTCGCGGAGATAGTTCCTGGTCATGACTTTCATTGAAGATGCAAAACTCACTTCGTGCGAACTTCGTAGCAAAGCTACGATTTTAAACTGTGCTAAAAATACATCGCTCTTGACTCTACAAACCGTTCTAAAGGCGCGTACAGGCAGTATCGGACAGGCCATGACAGGCCGTTTATTGAAAACTCACGTCGCACTTTATGCTTGCAATTAACACTTATCAGACGAATATAAATTATTCAATTTTTTATGGATAAAAATTAACTGTTGTAGCATGAATTGACCGAACATGTATACTACGTTTGACATGAATGCGAGCCTTAGTTCTCGTCAGTCTAGTATGCCGATTGACGTGCAGGTTTCGTTTTAGATGAGATTCGCTGATAACATTTACGTCATCGTTACGTAAGCATTATATTATGCTTCGATGGTTTTTTTCTTTTTTTTGCTCCATTTTAGGAATGTATACATCGTATATAGTATTTTTAGTATTTGACTCTTACAAACGAAGACGTTCCGCCACTTCTTCTATATGCTGAATGCATAGAAAAGAAAAGAGATCACCAGAGATTTGATACTTTATATATAAATGTTTCTGATTTTTAAAATATATCTACATTGAATCTAAGAAGAAGGATAGTTAGGGAATTTAAAAAAAAGTATGTATATAAGACCGAAGAGTTTCAAATTTGTATGTGTGTGTGATAAATACTCAATAAACAAGATTCATTTTTAGCATAAAGTTGTATTTAAAATAAATTTTACAAATCGTTAATTTGTTTTATTTTTGTTTAGAATTTTTTAATTCAATATTTTAGAAGCATGTATTTAAAAAATACATGCTTGTGATAATATTTTTCGCTGTTTTTAAATATTTTATTTTATAAAGGTACTCAAAAATTTGAAAATTAAGATTGTTATATTTATATAAGTGTGTAAATACGCGATTTATTTAATATTAAAGTTGTAGTTATAGATAGATTCCAGGAAAGCCTGAATTTGATTATAACAAAATTTTAATTTGTGTATTAGTTAAATATTTAAATGTTGAAAAGTCGTAAAAAGATTGTCTCGCGAGTCTTTGCTAAAAAAAAAAGATTTGACTTTCTCTCAATTATATCACTCCATAAATAAAAAAAGTATCAATGTTGACATCAGAGATGTATTGTATCTTCAAGACACACAGTACAATTAATCAAAATTAAAGACACTAAAATAATTCACATTGCAAATTACCATATAAAGTAATAGTTAATGGATTTTTTATTATATAATTAATTTTTTAAATTAGTAAATGTCAAAAAAGATAGAATTAAGCCACCGTCATTTTCGAGACTTCTCAAAATTCGAGAAATAGTGTACTTACTTTTACAAGCAGTTTTAATTACGCATTCACCCTGTTTTATTTTCGCGAATTTGCACGTTGCAAAGCGCGAAACACGCGAGACGTACAGACGTCGTGGCGACAAGCAAACTGCAATTGTTTTGCACGCACTGCATCGCATCGGCGTGCGTGCGTGCTTGCGTGCGCGAAACGTCAAAAAGTGCGCTCCCCGAACACGCACGCGCCGCGTGCACGCATGTCTATATATGCGCCTTTCGCTGTATCTTCGCCTTCGGCGAACTGTTTGCTTTAGCAGGAAACGAACACTTGTGATGCTTTAATAGCGAAAATTATAAAGATAAAAAGTCTAATCTTATGGCTGATATTAGAAGCGAATAGTTCCTTAATGATGACAAAATTTCAAATCAGTTATATATTATTGACATATAAGGACAAAAAATAGTAAATTGATAATACTAAAAATATTTTAATATCGGTCTCATCAATCTAAATTAAAACTTGGCTATTTAAAATTTGCATTAACTTCATTCGGAATAACATTTTAAGAACAGTTGCAATAGTGCTTCATTGCCGCAGTAATTTCAAAATAGGCTAAATCTATACAAGGCCGACTATATAAAATATGTAAGATTGATGAGAGCTGAAAGCAATTAAGAATACATATCGCATAAATTAATAATTTTATGACCTATTAAGAAATCAACAAGTATATTTATATATATGGTAAACTGCCCGTTGTACCGAACTCGTAAGTAGCTAACTATTTTCAATTATAACTCAAAAACTAAGCTTCGGATAAAATTTCGTCAAAGTCTCGAAGAAAAAAAATCGTCTCAGAATTCGCTCAAGCATATGATATTTCAAGGACATCAGATTGTTTTGAATTACCCTGTAGATAAAATTCTGCAAATTAAATTGTACATGTCTCAAACGTGATGTGCATGTGATCACGTGAATTGCACGTGAATTAAATGATACTAACATTATTTTACCCATGCATGCAAATTAATTTTTTGTTCTGCATATAAGATTAAAAATTAAATTTTAACAGCTCGTATTAATAATCGTGTTCGTCAGCAGAATGATTCAGCACGCTCTAAGTCGAGTTACATAAAAAATATCTATAATTGAATATATCTTGTGAATCACTAATTTAACATTTAACTGTCGCAACATTCACGTGTCAAAAATTAAAAACTTGCAATTAATAATAGCCTTTTAAGAGGAAATTAACTTGTGTGTGTTTCCTGTCATCGTATTTGAGGCCGAAAAAACATGTCCAAAATATACGATATAAAAAGATAAAAGCAAAGGTATGTACTTAATACATGTTATATTATACTAAAAAAATATAGAATTAATTATTTGTAACATATACATGACAGCGTTCGCCAAGCATTGAAATCTTCATTAGGCACGCGTTACTATCGCTCTTTTTAAATTTATAATAAAAAGCAACGCATGATATTTAAATAATGAATGTAAAGTATTTATTGTTAAATGAATAAATATAAATGAATGAATTTATTTAATTGGCTATTATTTGATATTGCATCTGTGCAATAATGTGTAAAGAAGGTCTTTTTATATTTTATCTTTTATCCAGTCCATATATCATCATAAATGCGGTTGAGAACGAAGTAATGGGATTAATAGGTGATATCTGGACGGCATTAGAAGAAGCTTTGAAATTCAAATTAGTGTTGTATGATATGCTTGGCTGAAGCTATAACACAACAGCTGATAACACATTTTTTAAATTAAAAATATATCCGAAATATTTATTCAGAGTAGGGAGCAAAATTTAATTAGATATTCCAACTTTTGAGAAAGGGAAAGAAAAAATCACTATAGAAAAAAAATCATAGTAATTAAATCACAAATAAAGAATCACAATAATTTATGATTGATACAAGTAACGTTGACAGCAAACTCGTATAAAGTATTTTGATATTCTATATAAATTTAGATTCACATATGTGTGACAGCTATTGAGAATCAAATATCTATGTTGATATGAGATTTTTCATTAAGGATTATCTCGGGAGACCAACAAAGCACTCTCGCTTCCTCTCCCGCGTCACAGTCTGTATATAGCTGAAATGCAGAACGATTTACCGAAGTACGAGACGGTTGGCCATCGCGATCCTGATGAATGGAGTACTTACGCACGCCACGGCAATGTACTCGTACACGTCAAATTATTACACCTATAGCGTGCCGACTTACGACCAACTTGTAAATCGAACGCCAGCCGTTAATTTGATCACTAATCGATGGTAAAAAAAAAAATATCGCATTTGTAATTATAAATATATCTGAAATATCCCAGAACGCGCGCGTTATATCAACAATATTATCTCTTTACTTTCGATAAATAAGATAGTCCACACGAGTATTCCAAAGTTAATATCTTGTGCGTGTCTTTAGAATCATAAAAAATTACATGCACCTATATGTATAATATAATCAAAATCAAAATTTATTATAATAAACGATACTATTTATCTCATTGATTATTATTTTACATAATTTCTTGCGTATAATTTTTTAATAACTCAACTTGGAAAAAAATCTTCATTAAGAAAATATTGTTTAGAAAATATTATAATATATAAATATATATAATGTACTGAAACACATATTACGTGACATTATTATATATATATTTTTGTGGAAGAGAATAACGCAAAGAATATAATTCTAACGGTAAGCGCGATAAATTTTTCTATTTCTTCAATTTTGATTTAATAATGTAAGCATATATATATAGTACATAATGTACAATACAGAAAAATAATCATGGCGCGAGCATCGTCATTGAACAATGCGCTTTCTGTGTTACACAAAACCATACACAAATAATATCTTCGAACACAATGCGCAACAATGTAATCGCGAAGACGATACATACTCCTCTCATTGTTACAATCGTTATTCACAATTATTATAAACAACGAACATTTACAAATGCATGATGCATCGGCGTCAAATATTTAAGGCCTATATGGATCTTACGCTGTAATTAGAGAAAATTTGGCTTCTTCTTACGTGGTATTTCGCCACTTTGACTTTTTAAAGGGGATGCGGAAATGAGAGAGAAATGGAGCGATTCCGGCAAGGAATAAAATGCGCGGATAGAATATCTCATAATATTTTCTAAAATTTTCCCATTTCCGCATTATACATATCTTGTCGTTTTTTCAAACCTGACGAGTTTTTAACCCTAACACAGGGATCCTAAATTTAATCTTAGATATATCCCCAATGGATCGTATAATTTCCTCATCTTGTGAGATATCGTATTCTCTCGAGCATAAAAATGCACATTAATATTTGATTATTTTTTATCCTAAAAGAGATATTTTTGAAAGCCCAACAACTAAATTCTTTATTTATTTGTCCGAACAAAAATTTTTTGTACAACAATGTACAAAAAAATGAAGAAATTATACAGTAATAATTGTGACTTTATAATGCGTACTTAATCATTTTATCAAATTATGTCAGCATCAGTGAGTTTTTTTAGAGTTATTGTTACAACACTCGCGAGAATAATATATTTCTTCGGTGTTCAGTAGTGTAATCTAAAAAAAAAAGTTAAGCGTACTTATCTAATTATCGGTAGTTTCTTCGTTCCTTCAAACAAACGTCTCATTACAAACTTGAAATCGTAAATAAATTTATTACGTGCGTCAGTAATAAGTGTGTCTTACGCAATGTACAATGATGTTTCTCGTTATCTATAATATTTTTGCTTTCTTTCTTCTATAAAAGACTACATATGGATGTATGTGTATTTCTCTCTATTTTAAATGTTTGAAAAGGATCAAATTTTGATTAGCGTTTCTTTTGAAGTATGCAATTGCACTCAAATTGCAATATTGTTATGTTTACAGCGCAATTAAAGATTTTCGTGATAACTGAAAAAAATCGAAGTTAAACAAGAATAAAACTTATGGTACATACGTCGCAAGATGCTGTGCCTTGTGAATTATTAATAGCTTGTATTTTTTCTTGTGCGCATTTATATATTTTTTTAATTTATCGTTTATTATATATAATTATTATTCTTGAACAAAACTCTATTAGAATTTTTTTATCGCGGGCGTATTATCAAAGTGATGCAGCAACTAAGCCAATTAAAATTATTTTGTTTCACGTAATTTAGCAAGTTATTATTTTAAGTTCTTTTTATCGTATAAAAGAATTTAAATATAATATCTCTGTAAAAAATAAATATAAATCTCACAGAAAATAACTTATTGATTCTTTCATATCTATTTTTTGCAATGATATATGAGTCTTTCGGAAATTACAATGATCAACTCCACTGTTTGTAAATTTCTTTAAGAAATTTCTTTAACAGAACAGTAAAATTGAACACAGTTTGGTTCCTGAAAGGCTCATATCATGTATCGTATGTATCGCAAGTTTTTATTTTTGTTAATTTCATTTATATTAATATGTGTTAATCTCTTAAAGCCTGTTTTGTATTAAAAAGTACGATACACGAAATTCTTCACATGTTTTTTATACCACAGAAAAAATAGCTAAATTGACGATAATTCCCATATTGCCTATGACATTCCAAGATATGTTCGCTATTGACTTCGCGCTCTCGTCTAGCAAGAAAAGATTACAATTGTAACATTTTTGTAGTTTTGTGTTTTAATCGCTGCAGGCCGATTACGGTAAAGTTTATGTTTCTTACTCATTAGAACGCTAAAATTAATGTTGATAAGCATTAAAAACAAAAATCTATTGATAGACATATACAAGCCTTCTCAATCTCGAAATCGCATTATCTACAAACTCTTTTTAGCCTTTATCAATAAGATGTTATAAGCTCTCCCGCATGTAATTATTCAATATATTAATATAACAATATAACTTTCACGAAAAGAAATACAAGAAGAAAATATACATAGAATTATGTTCTGACAATTCTATATAAGCATGAGAGTCAAACATCTTGCATTTTTACTGTCAATATAGCACCTATATCTCTGTATAAAAAAAACTTCATACAATATTTAAACACCGAATTAGAAACGCTTATTTCTTGCAGAATATAATACCCATCTTTCTTTTTCCGAGAAAAAATAATTTTAAGAATTAAGTATTCATAATTTCATAAAATAAATCTTATCGATTCTTTTTAGCAGAGTTTTCCCGCTAGATAGAAAAGTCAAAAACCTCTAATTCGCTCGAATATCAAATATGCGCTGGATGCCACGACAAATATACAATTAAGCACAATTAAAAATATTTCTCTTGACATCAGCAATAGTGTATCGTCTCGCGAGCGTGTCGCGTTATCGCGATCTCGACGACCGAATTCCACCCACGCGTGCTAGTTTCATCAGAATAAGTAATTTTTTATATAAAATAAACTTCTTAAACCTATATATATATAAAACACATTAGTAGATTTTGACTGTGAATGTTATGGTACGCAGCTGTCTTTCAGCCATAGCTTGCCGAGATCATCAAGAGCAAAATAATGTCTAAATTTTGTAATGTTGTTATTAACATTAAAAAATCATATAATCAATAATATAATCAATAATTATAAAACTCTGTAGTATAAAAAAAATTAAATTAAACCATGCGAGATTTTTGTTACTGTTTTACCTGTAGACAATACTTATATTATTTTCTAACGTTTGTAAACTATAAATTATATCGTAGACTAGTTAATGCATTGTAAAGAATACTGCTTGTATTGGTAAAACATTCAGGCATCCCAGATGATTGAATTTACATGTATAAAAATTAAATAGAATGTATAAAAATAATTTAAAAATAAATTTAAGAACTATTAATTACCGAGTTATAATCCTACAATTTTTCCATAATGCTTATCTTCTAATTTAAAGATCCAATTATTTTATCTATTACTCGTTTATTTCTTTAGTGCTTTCAGCCATCGTTTTATGTTTAAATCCATTGATGATTATAATATTGATTTTATCTATAAAAGTGAAAAACGACAGTATATTGTACTGTATATTGAAAACATTTTTGCAGTTTTTGCTTGATTTTAAGAACTTTTGATAATCTCGACAAATTATAGCTAAAAGAAGCGGTGCTGATCGCGCGCACGACATATCTCAACGTTAAGAATAATGCATGTAAATGGTTCTAGTGTGTATGCGTGTGTGTGTGTGTGTGTGTGTCTGTGTGTTCTTTCGACAAACAGAAAACTCTGATCATTTCTGAGCACGTACCTCTTAGAGACAGTCGGCGTATATAAATCATTAATTCTTGTCAATGAAGTTTGGGTTTCTCTTGTAAAATCTAATATATTAGATATAAAAATTATCTCTCCTTTTGCGTTGTCTTGTGATTGCGAAAAAATGTCGATCCGCTTTACGAATAGTATTACTTAAGAGAATGATTCAGATTTCTAACGAAAAATATTAACTGATGGAATTTCTATTATTTTAAAAATGTGTGTAATATATTTCGCGCAATCTAACTAGCTCACATATAAGCCTTAACTCGTCTGTGTGAGGGATATAAATATATAAATTCTTTTTAATTTTTCAAGATTCAAATATTTAGGAAGAGACAGTAAAATAATCGTTTCTCGAACTACATTCACGTCCTGAATATTTACTTAGTTTTTAAGTACAATGCTAAAATAAATGATAAAAATATTATTTTTCAAATTAGGCAAAGAATGTGCACCCGGAAAGGAGACGTCGACAGTTTTTTGGCAATACTCGACAATGCACGTTTGAAAATTGTGGCAACATTAAATCATGCATATTAAAAAAAATAATAAATTGTAAAATTTAAGCTATTTTCACATATGATAAACAGTGATATGTAAAGGAAAATGCACAGTCCAATGCTCGAAGCAAGTGTTTTGCGACGTGTATGTATCCCCCCTCATTACGCAACGGCACGTACAAGCTGTGACAGTCCCACACCACGGGGCTAGAAATCAAGCTCAACCGAACTTGAATTCTTAATGAATCAGTCTGAAAAATACGAGGCGTTACCACACTTCGCACTTATAAACCGGGTTCATCTTCGAATCTTTAGGGCAGTTGAATTCCTTCGCAAATTCTTTCAGGTTTGAAAGTGGTCCTATCACCCTGTACCTCGGCGGACTGTGAGAATCCTTCTCGATCTGAAGAGTCATTGCCTCGGACGTTATAGCGGAGCACCAAACCTGCGGACATTTATCATGTTGATTAAATTTTTGTAAGAATAGAGTATCAAGTTAAACGCGACCATTCTTCCGTTAATGTCTATATTTATATATTTAAAATCGTGCAGTAATTCTATGACAACCTGTGCAAAATTCAGGAAGAATAGCTGACGATGCGTCAGGTTGAGACCGGGTAGCGGCAGTTGATCTTTGTAGTTGTTAGGCATCGAGAGATAAGCGTGATACGCTGCCTTAAGGCCCCCATTATCGGCGATATTCTCTCCTGCATTACAATTGAACGGTCAAGACCGATATTTCTGTCGTCGGTAAGTAATTATTAATAATCAATATTATTACCTAAAGTCTGTCGGCCATTTACATTTCGACCTTGTACTTGATACTGATCATACTGTTCCACAAAACATTCTGTTCTATTTTTAAATCGCTCTATCGTAGCGTTGTTCCACCACTGATGCAAATTTCCATGTAAATCGTATTCTCGACCTGTTCAACATTACCAAAAATACATAAGTAATAAAGATAACATTATTTTTAAATAAATGGATATAAATCTGAATGATTATATACATGGTGCAAATATTTTGCAAGTAAAATAATAATATTATTAAAATATAAGTTTTTATTTTAAACGTAAAAATTTCGTTATGATATCTAAAAAACCAGAAATCCTCAATTCGGCTATAAAATCAATTGTTAAATTAGAATAAAACTGTTTTTACAATATAAATAGCTTACACACATTTGTCATAAGAAATAAACATTATATATTTTGTTTTTATTATAAGATTATATTATAAAAATATTATCCGGAGCATTTAATTCATCTTTAAACTCGTACCTTGATCATCAAAAGCGTGCGTTAATTCGTGTCCCATGACTACACCTATGCCGCCAAAGTTCAAACTATTCGAGTTCTCTATATCGTAAAACGGACCCTGAAGAATGCCGGCGGGGAAGACGATTTGATTCTTGGTAGGCGTATAATAAGCGTTCACGGTCGGCGGCGTCATTATCCAAGTGGTCTTATTCACCATCTGATCGAGCTTCTCGAGATTCTTACGCAAATTGTACTTATTCACGCGCAAATTATTTTGGAAGTATTCGTTTTGTTTGATCGCCAGATCTCTGTAACGTTCGTCGAGTTCGCTGGGTTGTAGAATGAAATCCGGGAAGCCGATCATGTCGGTAATAGCATTCGCCTTCTCTTCTGCGGCCTTTCTCGTCTCTGCGTCCATCCAATTTAGATTCTTCAAATTTTTTGTGAACGCCTTGCGAACTTCATTGATCATTTCTTCCGCCTAAAAACAACGATCAAAGCAAAATATTATTGTATAAATTAAGAGACGCATCTTTTACAAATTATTTAAATAATAAGTTTAATATCTGAAAATCAGTATCGGATTCACACGCCATTCATGTTTCTGAAAATTTCGAGGGTATAATAAGTCCTGCCTTAAAACGATAAATGTTATTTTCCATTTTGACTTGTACGGTTAAGAAAAATAATTGTAATAAGTAAGACTTTTTCTCTAAGATTGACACACTGATATATGTATACTAACCATAGGTTTACTCTTGCCGTGGAAAACTTCTCTGACAAACATTGCGCCAATAGCGAAACCCATGGCGTTATTAACATCGCTAACGCAGTAACGCCATTGTTCCTCGTGGCCTTCCGAGCCGAGCAAAGCTTTCCGCAAACCCTTGTAAGCTTCACGGAATGGCTTTGACAAGCACGCCGTCAAGGACCTTACGGTTTGCCAAATCAGATAGTTATTCAGTTTTCTGTGGAAAGAAAAAGAGGATAGAGAAAAAATTGATGCTTTTTTTTCGAAGGAATCATAAAAGATTGATAAATGCCTTGATATTCATCAGAGATCGTGCACAACAAAAATTAGAGAATTATTTATAAAAAAAACAGTCGTTTTTAGATATATTATTAAATATCTAAACTTAAAATTAAATGTTTGTTAAATAAAGTTAATTTAATTAATTAATTGAACAACAAAAAATTATCTTTTATTAATTTAATTTTTTTAACACATCTGCGTTTCAAAGTAAGTTTGCCATCTCTGATGAATCTCACGCATACATATACGTACATCTTCCCGTCGATCGTGCTATTGTACTCATTCACGAGTTTCGTCAATTTCACAAAGTATTCCGGTGCAAAATTTACGATCATCGCTTTACTATTGATCTTCTTATTCACGAGACGCGTAGCGTTTTGAAAGTAATCCACCCACGACATCTAAACAGATAAGAACTACGTCTATCGTAATTTCGTCGATACTTCTTATTTGAAAAAAATAATTGTCCTGATTGAAAAAATAATATTTAAAATGTTCTTAACACACGTGTCAGTGACAGGATACGATGGAGAGCCAAGAATATCACACATGCAGGATATGATACAGGATAAGACATTATCTCATCCAGGATATTATTATATGATATTATATCATAGAGGAAGTCATATTAGGTAACCGCAAAAAATGTTGCAACAACTGGCTGCAAGTATTGGTCGCGTCCGCAAATAATGGGAACGCGAATATTCTGGAAATATTCTCGATCGAATAGGAGATAATAAACGTACGAAGGGTGCGTTACGTTGCAATTCGTTCAATGACATCAGATTGTAGAGCTTCTCCTCGTCCCTGCGTTCCTCGGGCGGTATGGTGATTTTCGCAAGTTTCGTCTCGAAATCGATTATATCCTGCATCTGTTTCTTCGTGGAGTTCTCCTCACCACCTAAGAGCACGCCGATCTGAAAACGTGCACGAGTACCTGTACTCGATTCGCCCGATGCGATGCAGCATATCGTGCGGCGATAAATCGTGCACGCAAATACGTGCTGCCCTTGTGTACCTTTGTCATGTAGTCTAAGTAGGCAGTTAGAACCTTGCCATGCTCGGTTACGTTGAGATAATTGTCTGCAGTCGGTAGCGTTAAGCCTCCTTGATCAATCTTGAAGATAAAGATCAGTCTCGATATAACATTGGCATATGTGACATTATATAACTTTATATAACTTTATATAACTGTCTTTATATAAAAACAACGAAAGATTCTTCTTCTAATTCATTAATTGCAAAAAAATTGCTCTGCCATTAATCATTTTTCTCAAATAACATACTTTATTTTATACGTGCATAAGAAAATTAAAAATTTTATAAAAAATTTTTTGTACTTTAAAAATATATATTGATTCATTAAAAAATAAGACAAGATGTAATAACGATAAGTTCGATGGAGAGTCGAATAATTTTCTTTAAAAGAAAACTCAATGTATATAGAATACTTTTAATTATAATATTTTCTTCGGAACAGAAGTTTTTTAACATTAATTTAATTAACCGACGAACTCTAATTATGCGTCATTACTACAACAATAATAAAAAAAATAAAAAATTTAATTAGTACTATCGTTTTAATGAAATTAAGTTTTATAAACAAGAAGAATAATAGTAATCAACTTAATGTCAAAAGTAAAAGGCACCATAAAAGACACGCCTAGATTTTTCTCACATTGTCAATCTAATCTCTTTCTTTCTCTCTCTCTCTCTCTCTCTCTGTTATAATCAGCTTACCTGGATTATGTGTCTAGTACTGTTTCGATCGTCCTCGTTCACGGCCCAGGAGAATAGTCCGCCCATATTGTAAACGTTTTGCAAGACATGCATGCTGTTTTGTAGAGACCACGCGCTTATGTTGAATTTGCCAGAGATGTTCCAGCCACCGATATTTTCCAACAGTTCCAGCATCGGCTTAGCTCCGAGTGTTTCGATAGTCTCATTCCCGTCCATGCAGGACAGATAATAATATTTCGCTTTCTTCTCAGCCTTCGACTTCATCTCGCTGAACGGTTTTTCTGCGCGCGGAATATACGACTTAATATGTACATATATACGCGTTAAGATTATTCGTAATAAATTATGATCAATTATTAATGTTACCGAGAACGTTTTTGACGACCAGTTGATTATCCTGATCCAGCTTGCCGAACGTGCCCCAAACACTTTTCCCATCCGGAATGGGATTTTTCTTTCTCCAACCTCCGCAAGCATATTCGTAGAAATCTTCACAAGGGTCGACGGAATAATCTATACTATTAATTATGGACGCTGCCACCGTAACACAGTGTTCTGTGAGGCAATATGTGCCATCTGCAATGATTTGTAGAGTTCGAACTGATTATACTGACATTGATTAGTTTTATCTGCTTACGCTACAAATGAAACTACGAGAAGCATATCAGACCAATGCTCAAAAAAAATTGTTGACAAAATGTGATACATTCTAGAGAGATTAAAACCGGTTGTGCCGCTATCGACTAGTTTAGAGTTAACTTTAGTTAATTAAATTTGCTTCTTTTTTGTTTTTATCATAAATATAAAATGTAATTTAGAAATGAGTAACATATCGCTTAGAATTGAGTAACATATTTCTTGGTTCATTTTATCCAGATATTGTTGATAATATTAGTAATCCAGAAGTGATTAATTTTTTACCTTCTGCGTTGGAGGTAACATGTAGAATCTGTGCCTCATCCCAACCGTTTTTGCTGCTAATCACGATGGTGAATACTATGATCGTCAGTGATAAAGCAGCGCAAATTACGAGAAGGCATCTCTCCAAAGTACTTCTCGCCTTCCACATCGTTGTACCCTGAAACAATACAGTCGTATTGATTGTTTTAATAATGATTGATTATTAAGATAATGATTGGCTATGAATCATTGATTTGAAATTATAATTTTGTAACGATAACTTTTGTAAAATATTTTATTAATTGAATATTATATATATGTATATATATATATATATACATATATATAATATTCAATTAATAAAATATTTTACAAAAGTTATCGTTACAAAATTATAATTTCAAATCAATGATTCATAGCCAATCATTATCTTAATAATCAATCATTATTAAAACAATCAATACGACTGTATTGTTTCAGGGTACAAATATATACTTACCGTATGATATCTTATATGTGTAGCGGATGTACTAATGCCTTCGCTGTTTAGAGCGACGGAGCCGATGCTGCTACTGTCTTCATCTTCAAATTCAGCCTGTTTATATCTCGTCATCTGAAGAGAGCCATATAAAGATACATTTGTGCATTAAAAGTGTAAATAAATTTTCGAGATTTAAAGCAATATTTAAACCGATAATATGAGCTGCCGGTATCGCGTCAATTTATGAATAATAAAGAATTGCATTTGATCTTTACGACTTGTGCAGTAAAGTTCCTGTTTTTTTTTTACTGCAACTATATTGACGTTAAAACGAGAAATCATGCAAATGCTTTTCCTACAATATACGTCTAAATAAATTATTGATTAATTACTTATGCGATTGCGCATCCTGCAAACAAAGATAAAACAAAGTGCGTCTCGTGTATGTTTAAGATAAAGCAATTAGTTAGTCGTAAATTGGTAGTGTACGCGGTGGTCTATAACTTTGCTTCCTGCTTCAAAGATAATAGAATAGCGCGACTCATTACTTATAAATAATTAAAAGGTATCTATTATTTAAGATTTTTAATTATTTATTTATAACTATGATAAATTATAAGAGACTATCAGATGAAAAAAGTCATTCTCCATTTTATTAAAGATCTTATAACAAAATGCAATAGGACTCCGCAAAACACACAGTATATTTACGACTTTATTTTTGCGCAACGTAGTTAAACGGAGACCACGTACAAACATTTTACATAATCATCAGAGCTCGAGTTTTTAAATTATTGTTTAAAAAATTCTGTATTTTAAATATTTAATCTTTTAAATATTGTAATTGTTGTTTTATTAAATATTTTACGGTAATTTACTTCTTAATTTTTTTTTTCTTTTTTTATTCTTTTTATTTTATTCTAAGCAAAAAATGTCGACAAATAGAATTCATCGCAAAAAATTTTTGTAGAAGACAGAATTGCCGCGAGAGAGAAGCATTTTATATTGGTATTTTTTGCTGATCCTTATCTACATCGCAGACATTTGTTTTTGCGGCACGGTTTGCCATGTGGAAATACAATAGACACAATGATCTTAATTCAAATATTGCAATCCAGTATCAACAGTCGTGCATAAAGCGATATTCATACAGCGTAACGCTACGATAACGGGGAAACAAAATTCATGAAACGTAAACATGGAATTAAATTAAATCCGCTGGAATGATAACAAAAGCTGCTATTCCTAATTTAATTCCAAATTATTTCACTATAAATATATAAGTAGATGCTGGCGCGTTAAATTTTAACATAAAACTTTGTTCCTTCATTTACCCAATCGTATTTAAGTCACTCTACTTGTTGTTCAAACGCGTCAAGAAAAAGATCAAAATTTTTTAGAAAATCAAATTAGCTTGAAAGTTGCAATTAATATCGAATTGTGGATATCAGTAACGAGATGTCGAAAATTTTTTTCGACAGAGATTTTCAACGCGCGCACTTCGCGGAGATAGTTCCCGGTCGTGACTTTCATCGAGGATGCAAAACTCACTCGCGAACTTCGTAGCAAAGCTACGATTTTAGACTGTGCTAAAAATACGTCGCTCTTGACTCTACAAAACGTTGTAAAGGCGCGTTCAGGCGGTATCAGACAGGCCGTGAAAGGCCGTTTATTGAAAACTCACGTCGCACTTTATGCTTATCATCGCAATTAACACTTATCAGACGAATACAAATTATTAAATTTTTCATGGAGAAAAATTAACTGTTGTAACATGAACATATATACTACGTTTGACGTGAATGCGAGCCTTCGTTCTCGTCAGTCTAGTACGCCTATTGACGTACAACCTCCGTTTCAGATGAGATTCGCTGATAACATTTACGTCATTGTAAGCAACAGCAGATGACAGATTTACAAATACATTACATGTGCTTTGATGGTAACGTTGACCACCACTTCTTCTATATGTTGAATGCATAAAAAAAAAAGAGATCACTAGAGATTTGATAATTTATATATAAATGTTTCTGATTTTTAAAATATATCTACATTGAATTTAAAAAGAAGAATATGAGACAAAAAAGTGTCTAATGTATGTGTGTGTAACAAATGCCCAACACACAAAATTCATTTTTAGTATAAAATTGTATTTAAAATAGATTTTACAAATCGTTAATTTGTTTTATTTTTGTTTGGGATTCTTTAATTCAACATTTTAAAAGCGTGTATTTAAAAAATACACGCTTGTGATAATATTTTGCGCTGTTTTTAAATATTTTGTTTTATAAAGTTACTCAAAAATTTAAAAATTAAAATTATGTTATATTTATATAAGTTTGTAAATGCACGATTTATATAATATTAAAGTTGTAGTTATAGATAGAATCCAGAAAAGTCTGAATTTTTATAACAAAATTTTGATTTTTGTATTAGTCAAATATTTAAATGTTGAGAAGTCGTAAAAAGATCGTCTCGCTAGTCTTTGCTAAAAAAAAAGAATCAATTCTCTCTCAATTATATCACTCAACAAATAAAAAAAGTATTGGTGTTGACATCACATGTATTGCATCTTCAACAAATACAGCACACTAAATCAAAATTAAAAACACTAAAGTAGTTCACATTGCAAATTACCATGTAAAATAATACTTAACGGATTTTCTATCATATAATTAATTTTTTAAATTAATAGATGTCAAAAAGAAAAAATAGAATTAAGCCACCGTCATTTATGATACTTCTCAAAAGTCTAGAAACAGTGTACTTACTTTCGCAAGCACTTTTAATTACGCATTCACCCCGTTTTATTTTCGCGAATTTGCACGCTGCAAGACGCGAAACACGCGAGACGTACAGACGCCGTGGCAACAAGCAAACTGCAATTGGCTTGCACGCGCTGCATCGGCGTGCGTGCGTGCGTGCGCGACACGCCAAAAAGCGCGCGCCCCGAACACGCACGCGCCGCGCGCACGCGTATCTACATACGCGCCCCTCGCTATATCTTCGCCTTCGGCGAAGTGTTCGCTTTAGCAGGAAGCGGACACTTGTGACGCTGTTATCGCCATTAAAAAATTTTGCGGCTTGACACGACAGTCGACAGACCATTATACCGTAACAAGATCAACAATTCACAGCCGGCTACGGTACAGACACAATGTAGAATATTATACGGGAACTAAAGGGAGCACAGATCAAGTTTCGCATCGTATACATATGTGAAACAAAAAGAAAAATGTCAATATTCTATTAAATTAGAACGTTGCATAAAGAGAAAGAAAAATTGATAATGTTTTAGAATATATAAATCTGTAGACACAAGCGCGCGCGACCTTATCAAGAAACTTATAAAATTTTGTTATAAGAGATTTTTCTTCCTTCTTTTCAGGATACACATAATAGTAAATTATGTCGATTACAAAAATTTGATTTTCAAATTGTACAAATCTAATTTCGAAATCTTGCTGATAAAATTCATTGGGGAAATTTATACATCATTGCAATGCAACACACAAGCGGAGGTAGCATATATTTAGGCGCGAGAGCATCAAAAGTTGAAAACAAGGTCGCGTCAAATACTGATATATCGTAATCGCATGCAACCAAGTATATTTACGCAAATACTGCGCTTTAATTTACACATATATATTTGTGTATGTGTGTTTGTGTGCGTATGTGTGTGTGTTTGTAACAAACCATGACCTACGGTCATTAACGCTTATCAATGAGGTAAACCGTAATTATAAATGTCGTACAAAGAAGATGATACGGGCATCGCATTCGTCACACTATCTCCCACAATATCGCGATATGTCAAAGCATGTTATTCGTAATCATAAACGTTACATAACAAGAGAGCTTTCCGAGCAGAACATACATACAAAGACGTTTCACATTCGACTTCGGCTCAACTCAGAACCATTTCGTCAGCCGGAATCAGGAAAGCGGGAATGTTTATTGCACACGCTCGCGTCGCATTTGCGGATGCGTGTCCGAAGGACTCACCTTCACCGACATCTTGACCCGGCACACGATCGCGCAACCACTGCACTGTCACCTTAATTATTGATTCACCATTGAGGGTGGAACACACACACATGCACGCACACACACGGGTCGGGGAGGCAACGATTGAGGGTCGATGGACAAGGCAGATGACAGGAGGGTTGATGGAAGAGATCGAGGCGGGGAGAAGACGGTGATTTTTTTTTACACTTTCAAGTATTTTCGTCTGTCACCGCGACTATGACATTTTTTTGTCGTTTTCTGCCAGCGTGGCCGCTAAAATATGCTGCAGTCGGCTCTTTCGCGGCGGCAGCCTCTTTCTCTCTCTCTCATGGGGGATGCTTCACCGCCTTTGCTACACCCGCTTCTCCCGCCTGCCTTGCGAATCCCGTTTATATTGATTTCTCGCTCGTCCAGTTGCACCTGCCATCTCTTATCGTCGTTTGACGACAAGTACTGCCTTATCATACTGATATTATTCCGTCGTATGTTAATCAGTGATTTAACAAAGCATTTAAAGATTACAGAAAAAATAGATTGGTATACAAATAATTGGATGATTAAACGTTCAAATCGACGTACGTCCATGTAACACTTCTTGGAAGATATAAAATAAAAAGATAAAAAAAATTGCTAGATATTCATTCTGGCAAAAAAAAATTCCTGATTTTACTTTAATTTTTTTAATATATTTATTATTTCTATTTCTGATATATTAAAACATTACTTATTATCAATCGATATGTTAGCAATACTTATTACTACATAAATACCGAATGTTAAATAAAAAGAAATTTATTTTAGATACCTTTATTTAATCTGAGAAAGCAGTTTTGAAGCATATTTTTAAAACTTTCAATTATTTCTTCTTGAGAAAATTTAAATAAAGATGAAGATGAAGCTATATAGAAATAAATAAAGAGAAGCTTTTTAAACAGTTTTTAAATCATTCTTTTATTTCGAGAAAATTGGAAACTGATTATTATCGCATTAAATTTTATTTTTGATAGATTTTTTAACAAATTTAAAATAAATTAATTTTTTTACCGTCCAACTTTTGTGCTATCATTTTTTCTGTATTCCTTTGTTTCATATTTATGTGCGCTTGAAAAATACAAGATATATTTTATTGTTTTAAAGGACTTTATATATAAATAGACTAAGGGGCCTATTCTGTAACTTTTAACGTTGTCGTTACGTGTCATTGCGCAGCTAAAACGTATCGGAAAACAATTGCTCAATAATATCTAACGATATCGTTAAAGGTTACAGAATAGGCCCCTAAAAGTATACCTTATCTTAGATATATATGTGAATAAATATTTCGTGTCTTTATTTTGGAGACAGACATTTTTTCACATTAGTATAGTATCTTACATATAGTGTCATTGATTCCGCGCGAATATATGATTGCACATTACGATGAGAAGATCATTCAAACTAGAGCTTATTAAAGTTATACGATATGACGCGCAGGCTACGCACGCACGCAAAATATAGTGGTTTTTGACTAAAAATTCTTATAGACTCGTAATTTATCGTGCATACATATACATATATACAAGTTTACGGTATAATCACGCGGACTCCTTAAACAGCCTCCATTTATTAATTAGGATCGGTTACAAAAATGGATATATTTGTTGTATAATCATGTGAACTCCTTAAACAGCCTCCATTTATTAATTAGGATCGGTTACAAAAATGGATATATTTGTTGTATAATCATGTGAACTCCTTAAACAGCCTCCATTTATTAATTAGGATCGGTTACAAAAAATAATTGTGTATATACATATTGTGTATATATTTATTTTGTTTTGCATTTTAAAGTAAGATCTCCTTGGCTACGAGACTGCGTCTCGCTTATCCAATACTCCAGCTTATCTAACGGACTTGTCGCTATTGGCACATACGTGTTTCTTGGACCGTTATTATAATTCAAGAATCTAAATTGAAGAATAAGCGCATTCGACGTAGTATTCTGCGACCTTAAAATATCCGAAGAAGTGTAGCGCGTATAAACCAATGACTTAATCTAATTTATCTAAACAATATAATTCGACCATTACAATTAATATATATTGCCACGATTGATCAAAATATTATAAATTAAATGTCATTCATGTCACAGCACGATAGTTTTTCTTTTTGCATATTATATGTGCAGAAAAATTGAAGAAAGGAAAAATTTTAAACACTCTCTTGTTATATTAAACACATTGTTAATTTTAAACACATTTAAAACAACAAAATTAACAAATTACATATAAACACGATAGCGTATTTGTAAGCCAAATCCAATAATAAATTGTTTTCGCTATATATATGTGCTTTTCTAATGTTCAATTTTGAACGAATTTCACTTTCAGCTTTTTATATTTTTATGCGGTCGCATTTTTATTACAGCAGTATATTCCTGTTTTAATCGTGAACAAACTATATAATTGTCTTGGATAACTATGTATACCTTATCCTTAAATACGTGTGCAATGTGTAGTAATTAACTTTACGCACTTTTTAATATCGAGATAATATTAATGTGCACATATATTTGTGATAGAAGCTTAAATATATATAGAGGACTGCCTTGACCGGCTTGAAATACAGCTCGAAAAATGAGACTATTTCGGCATTGTCAAGTTCGATATCAATATCGTTACAAAAAATACGTCGAAATTTATATTATAATATTTAAAAAATAAATCTTATGTTATTTTCCTTTTTTTTTTCTTTTTTTTTTTTTTAAGACCTTAGTCTCTTCTGTAAAGACTTTGTTCATAAGTGCGTTTCCATCCGAGGATTTAAAAAAATGTGCGATGATTATTTGCTTACATATCGTTACGATATAGACAAATGAAATATAATGATTGATATTCTTTTTTATGCGTAAGTGGATTAAATTGGTCCGCTGACTGTGGAAGTACAACGTTCCTGAAATACTGTTCGAACCGTTCCAAAATCTTAAATTACGTTAAATATAGTGCAGGAATAAAAATTAGATCAGTGTCTAATGAAATGTTGAAAAAGATTTTCTCATGGCAGTGTGTCGCAGATACCAGAAATAACGCTTTGTCAGTGTATGTAAGAACACACTATCATCTATTACACTTAGATAATATTTAATATCACAATAGGTAATCAAAAAATAGTTTAGCTTTGGAGTTGCGGTATTATTTGCAAAAAATATTGCAAGAGTGCGATTTAAGTCTAATGTCTAATATTATATTCGCTAATTCTGCGCGAGAGAATAGTGGATGATATATACATCTCACACACAAGATTTAATCATCATTCGGCTCAACTCAGAACCATTTCGTCAGCCGGAATCAGGAAAGCGGGAATGTTTATTGCACACGCTCGCGTCGCATTTGCGGATGCGTGTCCGAAGGACTCACCTTCACCGACATCTTGACCCGGCACACGATCGCGCAACCACTGCACTGTCACCTTAATTATTGATTCACCATTGAGGGTGGAACACACACACATGCACGCACACACACGGATCGGGGAGGCAACGATTGAGGGTCGATGGACAAGGCAGATGACAGGAGGGTTGATGGAAGAGATCGAGGCGGGGAGAAGACGGTGATTTTTTTTTACACTTTCAAGTATTTTCGTCTGTCACCGCGACTATGACATTTTTTTGTCGTTTTCTGCCAGCGTGGCCGCTAAAATATGCTGCAGTCGGCTCTTTCGCGGCGGCAGCCTCTTTCTCTCTCTCTCATGGGGGATGCTTCACCGCCTTTGCTACACCCGCTTCTCCCGCCTGCCTTGCGAATCCCGTTTATATTGATTTCTCGCTCGTCCAGTTGCACCTGCCATCTCTTATCGTCGTTTGACGACAAGTACTGCCTTATCATACTGATATTATTCCGTCGTATGTTAATCAGTGATTTAACAAAGCATTTAAAGATTACAGAAAAAATAGATTGGTATACAAATAATTGGATGATTAAACGTTCAAATCGACGTACGTCCATGTAACACTTCTTGGAAGATATAAAATAAAAAGATAAAAAAAATTGCTAGATATTCATTCTGGCAAAAAAAAATTCCTGATTTTACTTTAATTTTTTTAATATATTTATTATTTCTATTTCTGATATATTAAAACATTACTTATTATCAATCGATATGTTAGCAATACTTATTACTACATAAATACCGAATGTTAAATAAAAAGAAATTTATTTTAGATACCTTTATTTAATCTGAGAAAGCAGTTTTGAAGCATATTTTTAAAACTTTCAATTATTTCTTCTTGAGAAAATTTAAATAAAGATGAAGATGAAGCTATATAGAAATAAATAAAGAGAAGCTTTTTAAACAGTTTTTAAATCATTCTTTTATTTCGAGAAAATTGGAAACTGATTATTATCGCATTAAATTTTATTTTTGATAGATTTTTTAACAAATTTAAAATAAATTAATTTTTTTACCGTCCAACTTTTGTGCTATCATTTTTTCTGTATTCCTTTGTTTCATATTTATGTGCGCTTGAAAAATACAAGATATATTTTATTGTTTTAAAGGACTTTATATATAAATAGACTAAGGGGCCTATTCTGTAACTTTTAACGTTGTCGTTACGTGTCATTGCGCAGCTAAAACGTATCGGAAAACAATTGCTCAATAATATCTAACGATATCGTTAAAGGTTACAGAATAGGCCCCTAAAAGTATACCTTATCTTAGATATATATGTGAATAAATATTTCGTGTCTTTATTTTGGAGACAGACATTTTTTCACATTAGTATAGTATCTTACATATAGTGTCATTGATTCCGCGCGAATATATGATTGCACATTACGATGAGAAGATCATTCAAACTAGAGCTTATTAAAGTTATACGATATGACGCGCAGGCTACGCACGCACGCAAAATATAGTGGTTTTTGACTAAAAATTCTTATAGACTCGTAATTTATCGTGCATACATATACATATATACAAGTTTACGGTATAATCACGCGGACTCCTTAAACAGCCTCCATTTATTAATTAGGATCGGTTACAAAAATGGATATATTTGTTGTATAATCATGTGAACTCCTTAAACAGCCTCCATTTATTAATTAGGATCGGTTACAAAAATGGATATATTTGTTGTATAATCATGTGAACTCCTTAAACAGCCTCCATTTATTAATTAGGATCGGTTACAAAAATGGATATATTTGTTGTATAATCATGTGAACTCCTTAAACAGCCTCCATTTATTAATTAGGATCGGTTACAAAAAATAATTGTGTATATACATATTGTGTATATATTTATTTTGTTTTGCATTTTAAAGTAAGATCTCCTTGGCTACGAGACTGCGTCTCGCTTATCCAATACTCCAGCTTATCTAACGGACTTGTCGCTATTGGCACATACGTGTTTCTTGGACCGTTATTATAATTCAAGAATCTAAATTGAAGAATAAGCGCATTCGACGTAGTATTCTGCGACCTTAAAATATCCGAAGAAGTGTAGCGCGTATAAACCAATGACTTAATCTAATTTATCTAAACAATATAATTCGACCATTACAATTAATATATATTGCCACGATTGATCAAAATATTATAAATTAAATGTCATTCATGTCACAGCACGATAGTTTTTCTTTTTGCATATTATATGTGCAGAAAAATTGAAGAAAGGAAAAATTTTAAACACTCTCTTGTTATATTAAACACATTGTTAATTTTAAACACATTTAAAACAACAAAATTAACAAATTACATATAAACACGATAGCGTATTTGTAAGCCAAATCCAATAATAAATTGTTTTCGCTATATATATGTGCTTTTCTAATGTTCAATTTTGAACGAATTTCACTTTCAGCTTTTTATATTTTTATGCGGTCGCATTTTTATTACAGCAGTATATTCCTGTTTTAATCGTGAACAAACTATATAATTGTCTTGGATAACTATGTATACCTTATCCTTAAATACGTGTGCAATGTGTAGTAATTAACTTTACGCACTTTTTAATATCGAGATAATATTAATGTGCACATATATTTGTGATAGAAGCTTAAATATATATAGAGGACTGCCTTGACCGGCTTGAAATACAGCTCGAAAAATGAGACTATTTCGGCATTGTCAAGTTCGATATCAATATCGTTACAAAAAATACGTCGAAATTTATATTATAATATTTAAAAAATAAATCTTATGTTATTTTCCTTTTTTTTTTCTTTTTTTTTTTTTTAAGACCTTAGTCTCTTCTGTAAAGACTTTGTTCATAAGTGCGTTTCCATCCGAGGATTTAAAAAAATGTGCGATGATTATTTGCTTACATATCGTTACGATATAGACAAATGAAATATAATGATTGATATTCTTTTTTATGCGTAAGTGGATTAAATTGGTCCGCTGACTGTGGAAGTACAACGTTCCTGAAATACTGTTCGAACCGTTCCAAAATCTTAAATTACGTTAAATATAGTGCAGGAATAAAAATTAGATCAGTGTCTAATGAAATGTTGAAAAAGATTTTCTCATGGCAGTGTGTCGCAGATACCAGAAATAACGCTTTGTCAGTGTATGTAAGAACACACTATCATCTATTACACTTAGATAATATTTAATATCACAATAGGTAATCAAAAAATAGTTTAGCTTTGGAGTTGCGGTATTATTTGCAAAAAATATTGCAAGAGTGCGATTTAAGTCTAATGTCTAATATTATATTCGCTAATTCTGCGCGAGAGAATAGTGGATGATATATACATCTCACAAGATTTAATCATCACATTCGAAAATTAAAGATGCAATAAAGTAACGCGAAACAATAATATAAAGTCGGTAAATATGGAATATTATTGTATTAAATATACTATTAATTACACACATACGTGTTAAAGAAAATAATATATTGCATTACTTTTAATAAAATAGAATCCTCGTTTTTTATCACGATATTCGGAAGGTGAAGATTATTCTAATGTGATTCTCGATAACGAACGGTTATGTTTGTATTGCTATATAAGTTACGCGCGAATAACAGAGGGACAAGAATATAAGTATCGCTTAATACAATGATAAGGATTTCGATTTATACTCAGTCTAGCGACTTCGATCTGTTTAATTTGTGTTTACTTTCAAGATCAAAGTTTGTACTCCGATTCATTGTACGAAGATCACGCGCCCTTTCGACGTTTTCACTCGGAGGCAATTGCGCATTTTCAAAAATAAAAGATTCTAATATCACATTATTGGATGGATTTGATTGAGAAGAACTCGCAACAACCTCTACCGCTTGTCCCGGAGAATTCGTGTTACAAAGTGCGTTCTCGGAAGCTGCCATTCGATTGGAATTAAAAGCGCACCGTTGAGAGCTCGGTGAATCTTTGAAGGAAATTCTTTGGAAGCTGCTGCCTTGATAAATGACATCTCCAGTGTGATTATGCGGTAATCGCACAAAACCACCGTAATCCGGACGTTGTTTCGATAAGTTTCTTTGTGCCGTAGAGATCACGGGATATATACGCTTCAGGTCGTTCTCGCTTCCGCTCCCCTCTGATTTAGGCGAGGAAACACGCATCTTTGCGATTGTCGCACATCTTTGGTGAGACGCACAATTTTCATCCTGCACGGTAATCTTGCCGTGGACTTTCAATACAGATCGATCATTTCCATGCCATGGACTGTGTTCTCTGTAGCTGCCAGTAGCAGTATCGATATCGAGCATTGCACATCCTTCTGCATTCTGAACTTCGTAACCATGAGTTGCGTTTTCCGCATTCGAGATATCGGCCGATCTGTCCGTTGAATATCCTGGCAGCCGTTGTGAACTATTCTGATAACTAGGACTAAAATTGCTTCCTCCAGAAGCGATCGATTCTTGTGGATACTCCAAAGGAACGCACATATTTTGACTAATAGCGCCATTCGCTACACAATATTGCGAGAAATGCGCGAACGGAACATTCTCGTGATTGTCAAGCTGGTGGGAAGTCGCGTTATCACTTTGACTGGAATTACCGTCTACCAATCTAGCTGGAGAATTGCAAGTATAGAAGAAACACTGCGATACACTCGGATTTGGTATCACGTTCGCCGTTTGTAGATTCAATCGCGCAGAAGACTCCGGTGACGCTGGATTGGAAATCTTGCCGCGCGTCTGTGCTATCACTGTCTCATAACTTGGTGGTGGACCGTATAATTGATAGTAAGGACAACTGCTATTGTTTAACACTACATTCATATTCTGATAGTGCGTTGAAGTAGTTGCATTACCGTTATATGTTGACGCTGCTGTATTTCTTTGAGGACCTATTATAAAAATTTATATGTATAAATATTTGTGCATTTTATGTGCTTTGTTCATAAAATAAAAAAGAATATAAACCTTTCCACATACGATGCAATAGGACGGTATTTCTTGCTGAATTGTATGTAATACGAGCTTGCTGCGCTCGGCAAGATGTATTACGAAGAGAATTTTGAGATCTAGGATAGAAAGATCGAGTTGGAATAGCTGAAGCTGCTGCTCTATATCTGCCCTGCAACCAGTATCGATACCACCAGCCACCACCGGAACACACAAGGAACATGATTATAACCAGAATCCTGAAATATTTTGAATTTTTATATTATAAAAGATACAAAATATTGTTATAATGATTATTGAAGCAAAAGAGGATTATTGTTAAAGATTTTACTTACCAGTAGTACCATAAATGATGGAAATGGAGTCCAGGTGACACACAACAACCAAAAGTGCAACAATATTCTGTTCTTGAACATCTGCAAGATGTTTTACAATTGGCATAAAAATAACTTTTAATATTATACGGCAGCAAATTATCAATAATATAGTATTCGGCTTTGGCGGCGTAAACATTAGCGCGCTATTGTTTACGTTTTACGACTAGGGCTTTATCATTCACACGGCAACACTCGAACAGTAATGTAGTAGTGAGAGACGCTTCGTCAAATTCCTTTTCTAAATGCGATCGCGACAAGTATCGGGAAATAATTTGATATAATTAATAATTAATTCTCTCTCTTTTACTTTCTAGGTAATAATTATTTAAAAATACTTAAAATTAAATGTATTTTATCCGATGTTTTTTCGTTCAATTTTTCGACAATCTAAATATGATTCGGATTAAAAACGTGTAATAAAATAGTCGAATCGGGAGTCCGAGTAATTAATATAACAATAAGCTCCGTGATATATTAATCGTTTATTAAATAATTAAACATTAGCGCATTATTGTTAACATGTTACGACTTACGACCTTATCATTCACACGGCGACACTCGAAAAGTAAAAGATAGTAGAGCGCGAGACACTCCGTCAAATTCTTTTTCGAAACGCAATCGTGATAAGTATTGGAAAGTAATTTGATATGATTAATATGATCATAATTAATTATCCTTTACATACGTTAGATCATACGTTAATTATATCGCGACGATTAATTTTGAAGCGCGTATTTCGCGTAATTTACTTTTTTAATTTTAATTAAATTTTATTTCATTTATTCGAGTAAGAGAAACGTAGTAAAGAAGTCCGAAATAATAAGTTATCGTTTTATTGGATTTCTCTTTATGAGCAATAATTATTTCTTTAATAATATTTATTTAAATATAATTTAAATTTAAATTAAATTTAAATTAAATATTATAAAGTTAAATATATTTCTTTCGGTACTTTTT